TATCATTAAATGAATGGTTGTAAGTCAAGGAGTACCTGTACATTTCAAATGAAAACCAGCTCTATGGTAAATACTTTAAGCATGAGTTTAATTTTTCTATGTGATGTCTTTAGAGATATACACCAGAGTTTGATTTTTATTACATGATTCTGTGAGCTATATGATAAAACTTTCCTTTTGTATGGTTTTGGTATGAACAATTCTTGGTACATTCCAACCAATCCAGTATCAAAATAAGGTTCTTCAGACTCTGTTCAGTTGTGATTCCATCAATTATTTAAGTGCTTTTTAAGTTATTACTTTTTTTGTTTTCTTTGGTTGCATTTCTATTTGCTATAGAATATAAATGTTATTTCTGTTTTAGTTTCTGGTATTGCAGTGTTGATGTATCTGCAACTCGTCGGACTGTAGTAACAGGAGATAACGTAGGAAACGTGATTTTGCTCAGTACTGAAGGTGAAAAGGTTTGTATATTTTCTGTTTTCCTTAACATAAAAAACTTCAGCATTTTTTAATTTACCTAATAATTTTCCATTGAACCTTGATTGAAAATCTTCTAAAACAGTGTTTTAAAGACTGTATGATGATATTGCACTGAATTGCTACATGCAGTCCAATCATAATTTGACATCTCGTACAAAAAATATGCTTCTCTTCTGCAGGGTCATCCCTTATTGCAATAAATGACACAATTTCTTCCCATGCTTGTTTTACTCAATCTGGGTGACGGATATGTAATGAGAGGCCTTGCTCATGTGTGTCAGTGGATGGGAATAAAATAAATAGATGAATGAATGAGCAGACTTAAGTTTTCAATAGGGTTGGGCGGATTTCTGCCTCTGATTGCATTATCTCTAGCCTCATCATGGAGGCATTGTAGATTGCTCATATAGTAAGATATATTGGGAGAGGCCTCATCATATCAACAGTAGAGCAACTAAAGGTGTTTCAGTTTGCCAGCACATCAGGCCAGGAATAAAATGGTGATGTCATGAAGACCATCCCTTTAAAACATTAACACACTGAGATGTGAGGATGAGTTTTCTCTGCCTAATATCCATACACCAGAATTTGTGCTCTGCAACAGAAAAACATTTGCCTTCTCTTATATCCATTGTAGATATGGAATTTGAAGCTCCACAAAAGGAAAGTGACTCATGTGGAGTTTAATTCTCACTGTGATTGGCTGCTGGCTACGGCCTCTATGGATCAGACAGTCAAAATCTGGGATCTGAGAAATATTAAAGATAAATCGAGTTGTCTTCATGTACTTCAGCATGATAAAGGTGTCAATGCAGGTAAAATAGAAAATACCAATGCCCTATGACTTTTGTTCATCTTGTATCCACAGTGCC